AGAAATGTATTTTAGATTTATATATATATATATATATATATATATCACTTTTTTTTAATATCACTTATTTGTTATATCACTCTAGTATCTGGTCAAATTCACAACATTATATCTGAAAGATAAAGAAAAGGTAAATTATTATATTATATTATATTATATTATATTATATTATATTAATAAAAATAAATATTCCAGTTACTGTCTATAGACCTGATATTTTCAATCTGCCCAATCTACAAAATTCAAATAATTTAAATTATATAACAATGATGACCGTCATGTCAAATCAAATCCAAAACTCCAACTGTGTCCTTTTTCTCCAGGCATCAGGTTGATGCCAGCCAAACTCTCTCCCTGCTCGTCTATATTACTTTTCCTAAATATATCAGCATCATCTTTATACAATAAAGCATCAAAGCTCTCTTTGTGTCTTTGTACTTAGTTACTGTGTTGCGTTATAGTGAGATGTTTAATCTTGCGCGTGTCAATCCGGCCGATCGGAGCGACATCTGATCCCGCAGCAGCGTTCGGAGATCAGACTCCCAAAGGAAGTAACCTTGAGTCCATCTTGGCTCATAACAGCATAACAGTTATTCAAACAGAACCGACAGATTGGTTTACACACACGGCTCCTAACAGAGATTCCCAGAGCCTGTCCATCGGCCCCGGCCCCGGCTCTCCTATTCTCGGGACTCTGACAGGACAGAGGGACTCTCTAGCGACCAAAATAGAGCATGTCGAAATGCTTTGTGTCCCGGCAATGCGGTCCCAGCTGCCAGTGTGCTGAGAGGGGCTTCTTTGACAAATTCTCCGAGTGACTCTGAGCTGGAACTCAATGACAACAGCAGATCACTGATGGAGACCATTACAGGATCTGACATTTCTGCTCTAACATTTATAAACATCCTCAAAACAAGGTTCAATTTAAAGGGGTCCTATTATGCTCTTTTACAAAGTCTTGATTTTGTTTTGGGGGTGTACTAGAACAGGGTCTCATTCTAGGTTGTTCGAAAAACACATTCTTTTTCACATATTTTACATTATTGCAACACCTCTCTCCCCAGTCTGGCATGAACGGCTCGAATAGTTCCTGTATCAAATGAAGGCCCGCCTTCTGAAA